GGCAGCAGAAATCTAGGGTCCAGTGGCTTAAAAAAGGTGACAAAAACAGTTCCTATTTTCACACGGTTACGCGCGCCCGTCGGAAGCGTAATTTTGTGGTTGGGCTTCATAATGAAAATGGGGAATGGGTTACTGAGGAAAAAGGGAAAGCGGACATTGCTTCGGATTTTTACAATAATCTCTTTACCTCGGAATCCCAAGTTCCTAATATGGCGGATCGAGTGTCTTCTCTTCCTATTGAGAGAAAGGTCACGGATGAGATGAATGCAAGTTTAACGGCTGAGGTCCTCCCGGAGGAAGTTCGGAAAACGGTTTTTTCAATGGGCTCGAAACAGGCTCCGGGATCGGACGGTTTTACGGGGAAATTTTTTAAATCCTTCTGGGACATTGTGGGGGAGTCGGTTTGTGAGGCGGTTTGTTCCTTCTTCTCGACCAGTCGGATGCTCCGGAGCTTTAACCATACTTGGTTGACTCTGATTCCGAAGGTTGACTCGGTGGAAAATATGAAGCAACTCCGGCCTATCAGCCTTTGCCAGTTTGTGTATAAAGTCATAACTAAAGTCATGACGGAAAGGCTTGCTGGTCTCTTTCCCCAGATCATCTCTAAGGGCCAAAATGCTTTCATCAGGGATAGACAGATAGTTGATAATATCCTACTCGGGCATGAGTTAATGCACTACCTCAAAATCAAAAAGCAAGGCAAGAAAGGATACATGGCTCTGAAGGTTGACATGGAAAAGGCCTATGATAGAGTCGAATGGTCGTTTCTTCTTGCTGTGTTGGAGAAGATGGGGTTTAACTCTGTCTGGCGAGGGTGGATTCACGAATGTCTTCGATCGGCGTCATTTTCTATTCTCATGAATGGTACCCCGTCAGGATACTTCACTCCGTCTCGTGGGTTGCGCCAGGGCGATCCGCTGTCCCCTCTCCTGTTTGTGCTCTGCACTGAGGGGTTTGCGGCTCTCCTTCGTTAAGCAATTTCGGAGCAGAAGCTTCAGGGGGTTAAAGTGGCGCCCCGTGCCCCTCGAATATCCCACCTATTCTTTGCCGATGATTCTTATCTGTTCCACAGAGGTACTCTGAGGGAATGTGAAAATTTGATTGTGGTTTTGAACGAATATGAGGAACTCAGTGGGCAGCGGGTGAATCTGGCCAAATCAGCTGTTTGCTTCAGCAAGAACGTTGCGGTGCCAGATCAAGAGTTTTTGGCTACTATTTTGGGGGTGGGGGCGGTTGGGGTCCATGATAAGTATTTGGGATTTCCTACCCTGATTGCCCGGTCTAAGATGGCTACCTTTCGTTATCTGGAGGAAAAACTGATAGAAAGGTTGCAGGGCTGGAAACAGAGGACTTTATCTTGGGCGGCTAAGGAAACATTGATCAAATCGGTGGCCTTGGCCCTGCCTTTGCATGTAATGTCTTGTTTCAAGCTTCCTCTTTCGCTCTGTCGTCTTTTGGACAGGCATGTGGCCCGGTTTTGGTGGGGGGCGGATGAAAACCATTCTAAGATAAGATGGATGTCCTGGCGTAATATGTGCAGGAGTAAGCACGAAGGGGGGATGGGGTTCCGGCGGTTCGAACACTTTAATCAAGCCCTCCTGGCAAAAATTGGGTGGCGAATCCTGATGGAACCTCAATCCCTCCTGGCCCAGGTGTATAAAGCTAAATACTTTCCTAATGGTTCCTTCATCCAGGCTAAGGCTCGTTCACGACCTTCCTGGGGGTGGCAGAGTATTTTGTTTGGGCGGCAGCTGTTGGAGATGGGGTTGCGCTGGCAAATTGGGAATGGTCGCTCTGCGTCCATGCTTCGATCTACCTGGATACCTCAGTATCAGCTTGACCCCCCTCGGTATAATCCTCTGATCCTGCCAGTTGGGGGTGATCCTCTGGTGGCTGAGCTTATTGTTCAGGGGGAGGGGCGGTGGTGTAAGCGTAAAATTAGCCAATGGTTTGACCCTGCTACCTGTCAAGCCATCAAGAAAATCCCCCTACCTCGCCAGGCTGTGGAGGATAAGCTGATCTGGCATGGTACTGTTGATGGGTTGTTTTCGGTAAAGTCGGCTTACCACTTGGCGGTTACTTTGGATAGGAGAAGAGGTGGTTGGAAACCCACGGTGTGCTGGATGGATAAGGCTAGCTGGATTCGTCTTTGGGACGCAAATATCCCTCCTAAACTTAAGGTGTTTGTTTGGCAAATCCTGAATCGTGCTCTTCCCACTACGGAAGCGCTAATTGAAAGGAAAGTGCAGGTTCATCATCGGTGTCCGGTTTGTTGGGGTGCTTCAGAATCCTTGGAACACCTATTCCTGTATTCCCGGTGGCTCGTGCTCTTTGGGATTATTCGGGACTGGAATATATTGGGGAGGGGTTGCCCCGGGATCATTTTCCGCTTTTCCTGAAGAGGGTGCTGGCTCTGCTTGATCAACCTAGATTGTTCATGGCGGTTGTGACCATCCTTTGGAGGATTTGGCGGTCTCGAAACTGGGTGGTTTTTGAGGGTAAGCAGTACAGTTTCCCTGCTTTGATGAGGCAGTTTAGCCAGCAGTATGAGGAGTGGGTGGGTTTGCCCACCGATCCAGTTCCGCAGGGAATGGTGAGGCCAATGGGACTGTCTGATTCTCGGGGAGCAACGGGTATGGTTTGTATGTGGGATAGTGGCACCAGGAGAGGGTCCCATTCGGCAGGTGGTATTGTTATTTTAACCCCTGGTAGGGAAGTCCTCTTGGCTAAAGGGGTCCACTTCCAGTCTATGGATGATCCTATGGTGGTGGAATTGATGGTCCTCCGTGAGGCGGTTCTCTGGTGCCTGATTCTGGGATTCACGGAGGTTGCCTTTGAAGGCGACGCTAAGGTCGTTATTGATAAAGTTATTCGGGCGGACGTCGGGGATAGTCGGATGGGGGCAGTGCTGCAGGAAGTAGTTCATTATTTTGGACCCCATCCTGGTTTTAGTGTTCGATTTGTAGGTCGAGAGTACAATAGGGTAGCCCATAGGGTGGCTCGCAAGGCCCTGTCTTTGTATCCGACGAGGAATCGTGTCTTTGATTATCAGGCCTGGCTGAATTCCAGGATGTAACTTCTTTGTCTTGATCAATATATATGATTATCTTTTGCCAAAAAAAAAATGTGGTAACTCACAAGAGTGTCACTCATTAAGAATACTACTCTACGATTAGAGCCACATACTGACCCAATGAATGACTAAGTTTGAATTTAGAATACATCTTTTTGGTAGAAAGATCATAGATGTTGAAGTAAATAGTTTTACAATATTATGTAAGAAAATGACAACATCAATATGTCTAAGATGTTCTCTCTCAATGATTTAGCCACTATATTTTTATCTCAATTATTGTTAAGATTGTGCCTATTAATTTTATGAAAGACATGTAATTTCCTTAATTATATGACTAATATTGTAGGAAAATAATGGGTTTAATGATTTTTGTTATTATAATCTAATTAGAATTGTTTACACGAGTTTATGCAAAGTAGTGAAGGGAGTACAAAAAGACGCACAATTATAAAGTGTAGGGTAAGCAATGTTGCAAAGGTGGAGGAGTTTTGGGCAATTATACTTTTCAATTGATTAGTGAATCCCAATCTAACTTGATGTTTGGAAGAAAAATATTGATTATATGGTTTTATAGTTTAATAGCACCAAGGATTGAGATTTTTTGAAGTTGGATGATGCTGAGAAACTATTTCAACATAGTGGCAAGAGGACACCCTCCTTCCCTTCTTCTACTAATTGAGGTAATTGAGTGAAAATAACATGAATGAGAGAATAGAAAATTACATATCTCATAAGTGAATTCATATTTTAATTATGGAAATAGTAGAGTCGACGATAAAGATAATTATGTTGTTAATGGTTGAAACAATGATGTTGTTGATGGTGGGCTAATGACAAAGAAGCCAAAAGAAAATCGCTATAATGTGTGACTACATGTAGTGAAGTAAAGTTTAACTTGATTAATTTTTTCAGAATTCAACTTCCTTACTTGAGTCTTGGTTTTAATTTCAATAAGAACTTCCATAGATGACTCAATCTGATTATTGGAAAACTCTATAATGTAAGCCAATTTTTTTCAAGTGATTGAATAATTATGATTTTTTATGGTCCCAAATAAGAAATATGTTCCTTTGTAGAACTGATATATTTTATTCATGTTATTCAGGTAAACATGCAAAGAAAGCATTTTTGTAAAAAAAAAACTTTCAGAGAAAATTGGCATCATAAAAAAAGGAGCAAAATATAAATTCAAGTTTTTAATTATTATCATTATCAAGACAAGGGAACAATTGACATTAAAGTATGTTTGGACAAATTTTGCAATAATGTTAATGCGGAATAGTTAAATAAAGTGTGGCTATATAATTTTCATAGGATTTGGCTTCTTTGCATCATTGCATGAGTTAAAATATTGAAAAAATTCTAATGATGTAGGTTATTTTTCATATATTTTTTAGATGGAATGTTTTATATTCTAGCCCATAAAAAAAATGTTTTATATTCTATAAGGTACTAACAAAAAAGTATTTGAATTCATACAATTACTATTGCTGTTTTAACAATTGTGAAATGTATCCGGGCAGAGTTTCAATCGAGTTTAGAATAAATTGATGTATAATTTGATATGTTTTTTCTAATAACGAATTTTATTTTTATCACACTACATCCTCTTTTTCTATTATACTCTTTTAATTCGATCACACTACATCTTCATTTTTTATCATATGCAGCCCATAAAAGAAATATAATGCAAATGTATTAAAAAGTAAAGAAAAAAGTATCTCATTGAATAATTAATCAATTTGTCGATAAAAAAGTACCAGACCTAACCCTACACCCAGCCAAACATCCAGAGGGCCGGGCCTGTCTCGAACCCAGCGTTGTTTAAAGAAAAACATGCTTAAACCCAACCGAAGCAATTGGGCTTTGGGCCCGTGCTCTACCTTAAATTTTCCGCGGGACTCAACCAACGTCCCATATCCCTATAACCGAACTGGATCTCCGTTCGTCGCCCACTCGCCCTCACGCGAAGACTGCGATTCCCGCCGTCAGTCCCCTTCCTTCCCAGACAGCAATCAGAGAACTCGGTCGCCATGGATCCTCAGCCAGAGCCAGTCAGCTACATCTGTGGAGGTAACACCAAAAACAAGAACAACTTCTCATCTCTTTGCTTGTTCCCGTGAAGAAGTCGCGCGCCAAGTTCTGATGGTTTAATGGATTCTGTGTCTGTTTTTTTTTTTTCCTGTGGTTGTAGATTGTGGGACGGAGAACACTCTGAAGCCCGGCGATGTCATCCAGTGCCGAGAGTGCGGTTACCGTATCCTCTACAAGAAGCGCACCCGCCGAAGTAATTCTTCTTTCCCTTTGCCCTACTCTATTTCAATCGCGAGAAATAGGGTTGATGTGCTATCCTTGGGTTTAATTCTCGCTCTCAATCACGACTCCAATTCAAGTGATGCTCCCTTTTTGGGATCTTTTGTTTTATTGGTAGGATGGAGGATTCCCTATCTCTTCATTCCTATATCGCCCATGCTTGTAGGCTCATCTTTTCACCGCATTAGAATCTGAGAATGTGTATTTGGAGAAATCTGCATGCTAAAGGTTGTGACTTGTTTAGGTTGCTGATGATGGGAATTAGCTGTTTGTTATTTTGTGCTTTTGGTTTGTGTATAAGTAGCATTTGACTTGGGTTACCTTGACGGATATTAAGCTGTACACTGTATCTCCTATCGTGATGAGATACTTTTCATCCTTTTTTTTGGGGGGGGGACAAAAGATACTTTTCGAATTTCGTCATTGCTACCTCTAAATAAGCACACTTTGGGGTTTCAAGTAGCGATGGGAGTGCGAAAGCATTTTGTACTGTTCCTGGTTGTTGTTCTGCATTTTAGTTCACGCCATCTTACTGACAAAGTTCTTTCACATTGCTGCTCAATGATTCTAACACAGCATCTGTGTGCTTTTGTTGCAGTTGTTCAGTACGAGGCACGCTAGAGAACGATTCACTTGCTGATGACTGTGTTTACTTGAGTTGTTTGTGATAATCTGAAAGGGCTATGTTTGCCAGTAACTAAGACAATATATAATGAATATATTGATGTTGGCGCGTTGCAGTATGTAAAAGTCGCTCAGACAGACGAAATGGCATGAACTGTGCCATTTGTGACACTTTGATGTGTTTGATGGAATTGTGTTAGTTCTGTGGTGTTTTGGCCTGAAGTCCTTCTTCATTAGTGCTATGCCCTTAACTAGCTAGCAGTAATACTGACACTTTCACCATGTATAAAGTAAACTGCGTCCACTATAATAACTGTAAGATAAATAACAAGAAGTTACTCTGTAGTCCCTTTTTCCGTTGTGGTCTATCTCCTCTATATTACCCCTCTATATCAGAAGAAAAACTGTAACCGATGCTGTGCGAAAGAACTATAGCGAGAGTATCAAAATTATAATGCTACAGCTCAGGAGCAATACCATCCAGGAAGAGCAGCTCAAACTGGAAAATTTCCAGGACAAACCGTCGCTAAATACCGTCATCAGTAACATCTCTACTAACACCCTCAAAATTGCTACCAGCCCGAAAACCAAGCACACTGAGAACACGACTATACCCTTGTTCTCCAGCCACACTTGATTCTCCCCAACCTTCTCAATCCTCGTTCTGGCAATACATTGAACAAGATGAATTATAAAACAATGCTTGGTCGATTGTTGCAACACAAGGTTAGAGGTAAGGGAGGAAGAGGAAGTAACCTGAGATCAAGGTTGTCCTTCAGGATATGATCCATTTTCGTTGTAAGAAGAGACTTCCAAGAAACAAGATCGTTAACCTCTCCAGCCTGAAAGAATGAAAAGCGGTGGTCAGTGACATGTGATGGTTGGGACAAATACCACTCTGGTGTCCGGTCCAACACAAAGCAATCCGAATGAACAGTACAGAAGAGCCACTTGCCATAAGTTGCTGGCTGTCATGGAGACTCTTTACGTCGTGTTTGATCTTCTCCAGAAGCAAAGTTTTCTGTGCTATATCTTTGTCGAACTCTTGGAAAATATTGCCATACCTGGAGTTAACTTCCTCAACATACCGTTCCAAGATGGAGAGGCTTAGGTCGAGCGAACGGGCTTTCTGCATCAGTATTTTTAGTGCGCTGTCACCATTACTCCTCCCAGCTTGATGATAAGGAATTCCTTCGACCATATCAGTAGCCACTTGGGTTTTCGAATCAGGAGTTTCGACTGACAAAAACTCAGGCTCATCTTCTTTAAAAGTGTCCTGATGACGATGATCGTCAACCCCCTGCGAGTGTACCGATGATTTTTGCTCAGCAGTACCCTCCTCACCGTGCACAAAAACCTTCTGATGCACTGATACCAAATCCTCCAGCATTTTCTCAACAGCATCAACCCCATAAACCTCGAAAAGGCTAAGCGTACAATAGAACTCAGATCCATAATGGCTCAGAAGATTCAATTTCAGATATCTCACCCATTTGTGCTCTGGAAGCACAAACCTTCTCGCCTGCTTCACATTGGCAGTTGTAAAGTTCCCCAGCTTCACCCATTCTGAAGTTGGATAAACCAAGCTACCAAGCACCTCGAAATCCTTCAGATTCGATGAGTAATGCTCGAAATTCGCAATCTCTATAGTATCTACTAAAGTTTCTTCTGAGAGCTCGATTAGGACATACTTCTCTTCTGCAGAACACGGATTGCGGAGGTACTTATCCTTATCTCTCATTAGGATGTTTGAGGCCCCTTTGGCTTCCTTGTTAAAGGTCAAGACTTTTGCTCCTTTTGAAGCTGAAGCATAGTTGTACTCCTTCCCTCCCGGCTCCATTCTATGTACAATTTTACCAGTTCCTGTTTTGGTTTTGGAGCTGAAAGCTCGGCTTTTGAATTCATCAAGCCCAAGAGTGACAACTCGCGAGAGGCGATCGTTCTTTGGACCTATATCTCCTGGTCTCCCACCACGGGTTTCCCCCTGATGGCGAAGATCGATTCCATAATTGCTGTTATCTTCAGCAATAACCTCATCCGGATCTTTCCTTGCAGCAGGATATGTGCATGAAGTCTCGTCAGAATGCTCATTGACTTCTTTATGTACTGAATCATAATTCTTTCTATTTTGAAGTTTCTCTTCTGTCCAAGTCGATACTCCCACATCCTGTGAAGTTTCTGTAGATTCATCTGACAACCGAGGACATAAATAACAAAAATCCGAATTAGTTCCTCATAGAAAAAGCAATTGAAAATTGAATATATCAACAGTGCATTAAAGCAACTTCTTGCTTAGCAAGAAATGCAAAATCCCAAATCGAAAGCCAGTCTTTTACTTGGAAGCGATAATGTTATTATCTTCCCTGTCACGTGTACCCAAAACAAACACTTTGGAAGTGAGGTAGAGCAGTTGAGCTACTCTGATCAGTTTTCGTTTTCTAAAGAAAACAATCAGCTGTGTCCAGTCCACCAATAATCTGGTAGCCTGCGTCTAGATAATGATCATCCGGACAGTCAGTTTCTCCCAACAAAGTCTTAACCAAAGTCACCAAAATGAGGAAAACACATGGGGATGGGGTTTCCTCATCTATTTAGCATATCAAGCAAAAGAGACTGATAGAATATGTCGAAAGTGCAAGATACAGAAGGGTTTCATGTACTTGACATATCCTCAGGCATAACTAATTAAAGTAATTCTTAAATCAGCGGTAAAGCTTAAGAGATTTTTACCTCTATATCCATCACTTTGGCTGATCCACAGACTTGATAGGAAAACAAGCCCCCACAAAAGAAGAACCAAAGACAAAGAAAGCTTGTACAACCGATTCTTCCCACCGGTATCCTTCTCTAAAGAAGCTCTTCTTTGCAGAAAAGCCCTCCGTGATCTCTGCATCCCTACATCAATCCAAGGGAATCCTGCCCCTCAATTCATTCAGTCAACCAATGAACAAAATGGCCAAATTAAACCTGCACGTACCAAATCGAAATATTGTACATCAAGGCCCTTTACTGCAATGGAATGAGCAAACCCTATCATAAATGCCGAGTCCTAATGGCTTTCGGAGATCTTAAAGCTTTGAAATTGAAACGAAGTAGAAAGAAGTTAAGTATTAAATGTGATTGAACACGGGACGCAGTCAATCGGTGATTACTTGAGCGTGGGGTCGGATACTATGCTAACCCCTAAAGGGGTAGTGGTTTTTGACACCCTCCTCTTGATTGGTCACTTTTCCATTTAAGCTTTTTACTTTATTTATTGTAATCTTGTAAATTGGGAAAGCCTTAATTGTGATAATAATTATGAATGGGGAAGGAGAAAAACGTTGGTAATTATGAATGGGGAAGGATCTGGGGAAAAACGAAATCACCCCCATTAATTACATAATTAATTTCTCTCACTGGTACATTAATTACACGTACCACTCCACTGGTACACGTACCACTCCACTGGTACACGTACCACTCCACTGGTACACGTACCACTCCACTGGCCAATGATTGGAAATAAAATTGGTCAATCATAAAGGGGGTGTCAAAAATCACTACCCCTTTAGGGGTAGTCACGCTAACTGATCCCCTTGAGCGTTGATCAAACCGATGCCAATTGAACGAGAAAGACAAAGTAAACAGCAGGAGTAGACTGGCACTTGAGCTGCCGCCCATGACCCCGTTCCAGCTCAAATACTCTGGCAATAACTTCGTAGAAACGGCAAACCCAAAGCAAACGGCAAGTAGAAGAAGAAGAATGACCATAGCAGTCATGTTAAAAACCCACGTACGTACGTACACTACTTCAATCACACGGTAACGGAAGAAAGCAAAAAATTAGAAAAAGAAAAAGGTCCACCGAAATCCGATGGATATTCTAAGTGAAAAAATTCCGCAACAGATTGATGCAGATCGAACAAGGAAACCCGGAACTCCGACGACGGAATGAGCTTCCGCCGATCGAAACCTCGGGATCCTGGCACCGTCAGATCCGCCACCGGAGGGAAAACGCGGCGTCGGAAATCGAAAAAAAGGAAAGGCAATCAAATTGGAGCAAACAATCACCTGAAATTCACAAATTGCGAGACGGGAAGCAAGGGTCGGCTGGCGGCGGGAGAACCACGCCGGCACAGCCCTCGGAAGGCGGCCGGGAGGAGGAGGGAGGGAAGGAATGAGGCAAAGAGAAGAGAATCGCGGGGTGGGAGGGGGGTAATATTTGGTTGGTACTGGTTACGGTGCTAATTGTACAAGAGTTAACACCATCCTAATCAAGGGTTAGTAGTGATTTAGCTTAGATGTTGTATTGATTTTATAATAATTCGTAATGATTTCGTTGTTTTTAGTAGCTTTTTTTGCTAATTATCACGGTGCTAACCGTTAGCAGTTAGCACCTAATCCCACCCCTATTTGATTTTGGTGGTGAGCGTGCCGTCGTTCCGCTTTTTTAATTTAGTTCTGTTGCCTAACCACCGCTCTTCTTTCTAACTTCTTCGTCTCCTTCCCGGTAACGGATCTCTCTCTCCTTTCAAATTGAGAAGGAAAATTACTTCTACAGATTTTTCTAAGCATGACTGACTAATCTTTGAATAAATAAAATTTCAAAATATAAACAACTGACTAATCTTTGAATTAATAAAAGTTCAAAATGTAAACAGTTTTACTTATAATAGCTAGAATCATATGCAATGATAAGTTAGTTTTGGTTCCATGTCCTGGCTTAACCATTTTTCGTCTATTGTTAATAGCTGGATTGCTTTAAATCATTTTAAAGAATGCGGAAAAAACCTATATAAATTTACCATAAAATTTTAATGGTACCTTAATATGTTGGTCCAACTATTTGGACGAAAGAAATATAATACACTAGAGGTCAAAGATACTTCAAAGAAGTATGTGCCGACATCCCATAGACACAATTTACTCCCTTTCTATCATTTGGCTAGCTATCCGTGTCCATGAATATAGATAGCAAGCAGAAGCTTTGAATGCTCTCTTGTTTTGATGATCGACATAAACATAGAGATTCTGTAAATTATTTTTTTAATAAATTATATTTTAATTAGTTACAAAAATCTATTAATTATAATTCTCTCTCTTTCTCTCACTTCCGTAATCTCCAACCAAATCCCCTTTTCTTGTTTTTCTCAATCTTTCTCCAAAAGAAAAATCACTACCAATCCATTAGACAACCACTACCACTTTGAAAACATAAATACCATTGCAAAAATAAATCTATATCATTACACGAAAACTACCATTATAAACAATCTACCAATATAAATCTATACCATTACACAAAAACTACCATTATAAATAATCTACCAATATAAATCTATATCATTCACAAAAAATCAATACCATTGCAGATTTAATCAATACCAATACATGCAAATTAATACCATTATATGATAATCAATACCAATGCGACAAAATCAATACCAATGCGACAAAAATAATACCATTGAGGCGAGAGGGTCGGAGATAAAAGGATGGCCAGCGTTGCCGATTGTTTTGATGATCTTCGCGGTCCCGTACTCGCCAAGGTCGTTTGTCCATCGGCTCCTCCCTGCTGCCAGGTAGAGAGAGAGAGAGTCGTGGGGTGGGGTGGGGAGGAGGGGTGTACGGCAGGGGAAAAGGGAGGGTGAGGTGGGTGGGTGGGTGAGTGGGTAATAGTTGTAGGCGTGGGGAAAGGGAGGGTGAGGCGGCGGGAGGATGAGGGAGGCGGCCGGCGGGAAGGGCCGAAGGGAGGATGGGTGGGATGAGGGGAAGGCGGCGAGAGGGTGAGGGAGGCGGCCGGCGGGAGGGTGGAGAGGGTAGACATAAGTTGGGAAAGGTAGGTTATAAATGTAGGTAATAATCAGGTCTGATAATATTTTGATTCCCAAACTATCCTTAATTTAATCTTGACCGTCATTTTATAAAAAGGAAAAAATAGAACTAATGAAGGGTTTAGATATAGGTAGCCATAATGGTTACTAAAAACTAGTATCTACTAGGGTGTCAGTTCGGGTTGGGTTCGGTTACCCGAAAAACCCGAAAACCCGAAACAAAAAATCACTAAAACCGAACCCGAACCCGATAAGGACTTGCGGGTTCTGGTTACCCGAAACCCGAAAATTCCTTATCGGGTTCGGGTTCGGTTAAAGAAAAACCGAAACCCGAAAACCCGAACACCTAAGAATACGGGTTGAGTTCAATTCATTGGAGGTTTTTAGCCGGAACCCGAAAAACCGATAAACAAAACCGAACCCCAAACCGAAAGACCCGAAACCCGAAACGAATCTGAACCCGAAAAACCAAAAATGTATATAATCGGGTCGGTTTCGAGTAAACCCGAAAAACCGAACCCAAATGGACACCCCTAGGCCCTAGTATCTACCCTAACGCATTTCTGGGTCTTTGATTGCTTCCGTGGCCCGATGAATGTCCGGCCATGTTACTGATAGGCTGGAGGCACCTATAATAAACAAACTAGTAATAAGCCCGCGCTACGCGGCGGGAAATGCTGAAATTGCGCAATTTTCGTCACTTAGATCCTACCATTTGTGCATCATCGGATGCAAGACTCGTATCGTGTATTTTGTAAAAAAATTATATTGGACTGTAAACCTCTTCTTTATGCACTCGTCAGTTTGATTTGGAGTCACGTAAAATGCACAGATCAACATGCAATTTTGCACTATGCAAACACACGGGTACTAAAACTTGCTATCTCAATAAAACCTAAGCATCCATCAATGGAACACTAAACATTATGCCCAGATTTCCATAAGGACCATATGGCCCACAAAATAAACTCCCTAAACCTGAATCTGCAAAAGTGTCTGATAGTTGCGAGCATGCATACATATAATCAACTGTCCGATGATGCGTGGGGGACATGAAATTCACGGAGCTGGGAAGTTTGACCAAGAAATAAAATATGGTTAACGATTTCTTGATCAAACAATGTTATGGATGAGAGAGCATGATCATTTGTCGAAGGCAGTTCGGTCCCAGAGTGTGGCAACTCTGATCTGTCCGGCAGCTCTGGAAGCACTGTTGCTCAAATCTGGCCAGGCAATGTACAACTCTGCTGCAAATGTCTGGACACAACTACTCTTAATAAGTGCCACAACTTCTTCTTTTTTCATGTAACGAAATTTTGCGGGTGACACATGAATTAGTGAGAGGACTGCTTCATGTTCGAACACAACATCAGCTTCGACTGAACCTTGACGACACTTGATAGCCAATTTATAATGCAAGCTTGCAATAAAAAAGGTTACGGTTAGTTTTGCCCCAAAAATTTGAAAAGTAGTGTTGCAGAAAAAGGTGGACCTAGGTGTTGCAAACTCACTCTGGTCGTTCTGGAGTTGAACTGCACATGCTCTTTCTATACACAACCTGTGAGATGTCGATGATGCATTGATAAAGGATCTGTGGTAAAGAATTTAATATCTTGGTTAGTAAGAAGTTGAGAAAGAATGTTGTGGTTGCTTGTATATCTTGCAAAGCATTAAGTTCTATAAGTACCTTTTGTCTTTCTGGCTGGCCATTGAGCTGCTCCTTGATTTCTGCTAGAGTTTTCTTTGGTGGCCGATTGGTGCGGAGCCAACCAATTTTTTCTCCAGCTGGACCATCGATGTACCAAACTGGTTTGCGGGCCTGTACAAAGCTATCTTGCGATAAAAAAAAATTGGTAAGTTATCCTTTACTGTTTCTGTAATATAAAACAATAAAGTAATGCACGGCAAATGAAAGCAACTCATTTGTACATGTCCATGACATCCTCACAGCCATCTGTGTAGGAACGAATGCTGAGTCGACTGCCAGGTGTGGATTCAAACTTATATTGGTATTTATGGTCGTTGGTAGGAGCTACTCGCATCAGTGATGTAATTTTGACAATCAACGGCATGCACTGTTCAGCTGCTGGTGCATTCTCTAAAAATTCACTGATATCATACCCATAATGGCGAACAATTGCCTTATCTCCACTGATTGCAAGGCAAATACGTGAGTTTCTAAATTTTGCAAACAACAATAAGTTTTTTTTAATCCTGAAAAGCATACCAGACATCCTGTATGACCAAGTCGAATTTCTTTAGACAACCTTCGATGGTCTGTGGAATTGTGATACGCCGCACACACCCTGTCACTTCTGTAATTTCAATTGTTAATATGTTAATGGAAGCTGTAAAATGATTGTGTGAAGATGTTATGTAGAAAACGTTACCTGCATGGCATTCAAACTTGGGTGTTCTTATTGGCAATGCTGAAAAAGTGAATCGCAGGTATTGGCGCACTGGAAATTGTGATGTGCCTTCCTTATCTTCAATCTGGCCGATGATCTGGTTCAGAGTCAGGTGCAGGCGTAGTTCTCTTGGTACAATGCATTGTGTTTCTCTTGCGGGTCCAGCAACAATATCACGGAGTTGATGCAAACAGCCAATTTTAATCTTCTTAGAGATTTCTCGAATGTGCTCCTCTTCAACCAAAGCTTCGACCAGCTGGCTCTGAAATATGCGAAGAAATTGTTAGTGTTTTGCATAGGTAGGCGAACTTCTTAGTAACTCAGAATACTTGCATGATTTATACCAAAGATGGCAATAAAAATTTGTGTCGGTAATTTTTTCTTTTTATACATATAATGGTTTGAGAAGTGGGAACGCGCCTTTTTGTCGAGCCAAAGCATGTGCTGAGTCCTTTTCTTCCAAATTTATCCGTGTTGGTATTCTGACCATATAGCGACAAGGCGAGACACAACGGTACGATGGTTGGTGCCCAAACGTAAACCGCGAAAACCCATGGAAGCCACAATGGCATCTAGAACACGAATAAAGGTAAGACAGAGAAGTAAAATAACAATCGTGCGAAAATGGCAGAGGATTCGAGACATTTTCGCAGGACCACTTCATAAAATAAAGGCGTCTAGCTTTCACCTTGCAGATCGATGGGGACAGCTGAATCGCTTTCTTTAGAGCGTCGTTCATTTCCCAAATCGTCCATTTTCGGTGGGGTCCCTGCAGTAGCAGACGAAACCCATTTATGAGTAGTAATCTTAAACTGTAAATTAGTGGCGCATAAGAAGATGGGGAACTACCTCCGAGGTCTGGTTTTTCTGGCAGTTAGAGGTGTGGGGTTTGCGCGGCGGATCTGTAGGAGATTGTGATTCTAAGCTGGTGAAGGATATTAGGGTTTATAGAGGTTGAGCC